GGTATATACTGGGGTTATAGTAGGGGATGACCCTCAAATCTGACAGGAGATGAAGATTTCTGACCTCGAGCGAAAGCTCAAGGCCAAGGCGGATGAGGCCCGCAATCTCAAGGTGCGGCAGGCCGGGCCAGTTGTTGGTGGTACAGTCGAGTTTGAGGCATTAGTACGGAAGACGGAAATATATTATTTAGGGAGTATGGCTAGTGGCAAACAAAATGAAAGCTATTGTATAATATGGTATATCTTGGGGTTATAGTAGGGAATAATAAGGGAATATGTTCAACATATAGGGGTTTGAGGGTTCAGGGTTTTGGGGGAACGAGACCAGATGCAAAAGGGTTTGGGGGTAAGTATTCTTATAACCCTTAGTGGACAAATAAAGACGCCTGTTATCCCCAGTATTAAGCTACTTACTACGTCCGCCTGACTCTCCAAGTGGTTGGGCAGGTTAGGTGTGGGAGCAGATCTTAGTCTCTCTTATTCGGATTTTTTTGGGCTGTCGCATCAGGCTTGGTCAGTCTCTGCTTTGCGCTTTGAATTCCGATGCGGGGCTTTCCAAAAATCAGAAACCTCTCTTGGGATTCCTTCAAATCAGGGTTTTAGCATGTTCAGGTCTATATCTGGGGCCCCTGATGTCGGAAACCACCAGAATTTGTGGAACGTTTCCTGAGGAGCGCCTGGAGAAGCAGGTCGACGATACGCGGGCGCTGCGTGACAAGAGCGTCCGTGATCGCGACTGTTGCTGGGCAAATAGACTTCACCTCACCCCAAATTTTGGTTGGTTCCAAATTGACGTAATTAAAGGTTACGGCTAGGGGCAGTGCCCCAAGTTGGGGGACTTAAGATACATATACATATATATATATATGTGAGACCCCAATTCATGGCTTCGTTCGTGTGAGCTCATAATTTCACAGTTTGTGCTTGATGGAATGAGCTTCCAAAAAAAGAAAGGAGACATATGAAGAGCTTCATCTCATGGAGGGGTATGACCAGCTAAGTCACACAGCACATGTCTTGTTACATGTGTCTCGAGAACAGAACGGAGGTTGGCTGCGAGAGCGCGATTGCCTCGTCCAGGAGAGCTTGTATCTGCATAATCTCAACCCTGCGTGGCTGTGTGGTAAGATACTAGTAGCATTCGACGGCGGACCACCATCATCTTGACGATGCTCATGCACCATTGCTCTGGCGACTGTTTCTGAAGTTAATAAGGAATAATAAAGGCATGCCACAGCTGCCTTTGAACTGGGGAATTATGCATGCATCCTTGCCCAGGCTGCAAGGATTCAGTTGGCCAGTGTAAGATTCTTGTTCAGGGCCTACAGGGCTTACACCTGCTTATGTCTGGAGGACAAGCTGCAGGAGAAGCGGGACTTGGAGGAAAAGTTGTTCGCAGCCCAAAGTCGAGCCAAGAACTTGGAGCATCGCTGCCAGGATTTGGAGGAGACCCTGGGTTAATGTTGACTTCACCTTAAGAACTGCCCCTACATTTATAAAATCCCGGGCCTGGAACACAATTACAATAACCCCCACAATTACAATATCCCCCAAACGCGTACTTTTTGTCGGGACAAGGATTTCAATTAGATTTCAATTAACTCTAATAGGCTTTC